AAATATTACACCATATACTCATTATATTTTACTAAACCTGTTAGTCTTAATTATTTAATGTACAGTATGTTTAAATTAATCTATGAAACATGCTGTGACAGCCATTGTGTAATTGAATATATTTTAACAAATAGCTTACAAATTTTATTATTTATAAATCAATTTAAAAACTGCATTATGTGCAGTTTACATGTTTGCATACAATTATTATTATTTTTTTAAAGTTGAGTGTTGATCAACTATTTAAAAATAAATAGTAATTAAATTTAAGTTTGGGTTAAGTTGTTAGGCCTAGTTGTAACCTTATAATGTAAAAGGGCTCCCTATAGTTTTAAGCATAAGCTGAGGTAGATTTTTATCACTAAGAACATTTAAACTATAACTGAATGTATTTAAAGAAAGAGCAACTTGTTCAGTAAACAATTAAAAAAAAAAAAGTTTTCCTCCCTGCTGTACCGAAATCATACCGAACCGTGACGTTAAAACCGAGGTACATAACGAACCGTCATATTTGTGTACCGTTACACCCCTAGTATATATAAATGCACACACATGCATGCATATACACATAATACATATACACAGTACACACACATATTATGTAAACAAAAACGTTTATTTTGGATTAATCACGATTAATCGTGAATACAAATACAAAAACACAAATGCAAAGAACACATTTCCATGAATGTGTGCTTAAACTAGATCAATAAAAGGTCATTACCCTTATAAACAGACTCTCTTATTTGTCATTGACCCACACATGCTGTAATCATCTGAGGTTCACTGAAGGATCTGTTCTGTTGTGTTTCAGGCCTGATGGATTCAGGTACTCGACGAGAGCTGCGTACAGCAGACCCCAGCCTCCACTCGCTCCTTCACGGCCAGTCCTGAGTATCGGACGTTCACCACAACCTCACCTTCCCTTTTTCTGCTTCCTTCTTCCCCGTCTCACTCCACCACTGGCTCCTCAACCAGCCCTCCAGCTCGCCTCCGAGATGATCGGCAAGCTGAAGCAGAACTTACTGGTGGCCTGCCTGGTCATCAGCTCCGTCACGGTCTTCTACCTGGGTCGGCACGCCATGGAGTGCCACCACCGGATAGAGGAGCGCAGCTCGCCGCTGGTGAGCAGCCTGCGCACCACCCTGCGCACGGGCCAGAACCTCAGCACCCCCTTCATCTACAATAAAGACATGCCTCTTATATTTATCGGTGGCGTCCCTCGCAGTGGCACCACTCTTATGCGGGCCATGCTGGACGCTCATCCCGATGTGCGCTGTGGAGAAGAAACCCGTGTCATCCCTCGCATTCTGGCCATGAAGCAGATGTGGAGCCGCTCCGGCCGGGAGAAAATGCGGCTAGACGAAGCCGGAGTAACAGACGAGGTCTTGGACTCAGCCATGCAAGCTTTCCTTCTGGAGATCATCGTAAAACATGGGGAACCGGCCAACTACCTGTGTAATAAAGACCCATTTGCTCTTAAATCACTCACTTATCTGGCTAAGATCTTTCCTCACGCTAAGTTCATCCTCATGATCCGTGACGGCAGGGCCTCCGTCCACTCCATGATCTCCCGTAAAGTCACCATCGCCGGGTTTGACTTGAGCAGCTATCGGGACTGCCTGACGAAGTGGAACCGGGCCATAGAGACAATGTACACTCAGTGTCTGGAGGCAGCGGACAAGTGCCTGCCTGTGCACTACGAACAGCTCGTCCTGCACCCGGAAAAGTGGATGAGAACACTTCTGAAATTTCTGAACATTCCTTGGAATGATGCAGTTCTGCACCACGAGGAGCTCATTGGGAAAGCAGGAGGCGTTTCGCTCTCCAAGTAAGTGCCGTTGACTTAAGCAATAGCCAAAAAAACATTGTATGGGTCAAAATTATCGATTTTTCTTTTATGCCAAAAATCATTAGGATATTAAGTAAAGATCATGTTCCATGAAGATATTTTGTAAATTTCCTACCGTAAATATATCAAAACTTATTTTTTGATTAGTAATATGCATTGCTAAGAACTTCATTTGGACAGTTTTAAAATCGATTTTCTCAGTATTTTGATTTTTTTTCACCCTCAGATTCCAGATTTTCAAATAGTTGTATCTCGGCTAAATATTGTCCTATCATAACAAACCATACATCAATGGAAAGTTTATTATTATTCATTATTCAGCTTTCAGATGATGTATAAATCTCAATTTCGAGAAATTGACCCTTATGACTGGTTTTGTGGTCCAAGGTCACAAATAGTGTGTGAAATAGCATGTGTAATGACGTTTCGAACAGACGTATGCTTCATTGCTTTTACAAGACTTGCATATTTTATAAAACATAAATAAATACAGATATTTAGCATTTTTATACATAAATATGTAAATATGTAAATATTATATACTAATACTTATTTAATTATTACAAACTTAATTATTTGTATATTGAATAATATTTAGTTTGATCTATACAATAAAAAAAAATCATGATTCACATTACTAATTACAATAAAAAAAAATAACTAGACTACATTGCTGTCGCATAACTTGTAAATTTTATTCAGTGTTAATATTTATGATTATTTTAATTTTTATAATTTCAGTTTTATTTTAAGTTCAGTTTAAGTCATTTTGTTTTGTGTTTTATGTATTAATTGTTATTTGTATTCATTTGTATTGTTTTCATTTATTTCTATTTCCGTTTTAGTCATTTTAGCATTTTATGCAGTATTTCAGATTTTTGTTTTAAGTTTTTAAGTTTTCCATCTCATTTATTTTATTTTAGCCTTTCAGTTTTTGATAGTTTTAGTTTTATTTAACTACAAAGGTACAGATATTTCGCATTTTTAGTAAATAAAAAATTATGTAAATATTTTAGAATGCATAAGGAATTTGTGTAAAATATTCAAATTTTAGTAGTCTGATCAATCGATTAGGGAAAAAAAATCTATTAAATACTGTGATTTGATTAATCTGTTTATTCATCACAACGTAAATTGGCGGTAAAGTCAGAAAGTTTCATACTGTGGATTGTATACTGTATACTGCAGAAATAGTCAGACTAGTATGGTAGTGTGCTATTCCAAACATAAACAACACTTTGTGTTCATTTATGTGTATGTGCAGCAGATGTGTGTGGGTGTTTCTCTCTCTCTGTCAGACTATTACTGTACATGTGCTAAAATTCTCACTGACCAGTGATAAATTATTTTCAGTTCTGGCTGAAAACAATTTGATAATCCCTTGAGTGCAGTTAAGTACACATTCTGTTTGACCACAGTGTGTTGTGTTGCAGCTTCTAGGGCATGATCATGAATCTAAAGAGTTTTCTGCACAGTTCATGCCCTGAATAGAGCAAATGAAGGGTGTAGATCACCAGCAACATTCCTGCAGCAGTAAAACATGTTGTTGCATGTTGGAACGTGAGACCCGATGTTTTTTGTTTTTTTTCCAATAGAAAAAAACTGATGTATAATGAAAAGACTGTCTTAGTTTGTTAAATTTAGATCTTTTTTTTTTTTTTTGTAAATGCAACCTCGTTTTGTCAAATGCTACTCGGAGTCTTAGTTTGTTAAATTCAGATTTTTTTTTTTTTTTTTGTAAATGCAACCTCGTTTTGTCAAATGCTACTCGGAGGTAATTTGTTTCTGCACTTCAGGGAGTTACATATTCAAGAACAAAACAAGGTTAGTCACTGTTTCGTTAATCACTCCAGAAAAAAATCCCAGCTACAAAGTTTTGGTCATATGGTGTGGATGTGTTTTAAGGCACTTAGATATACACATGGCCTGCAGAAGTCATTGAAATCTTGAAAGCACAAAGGGTCACCGCTATTAACACATGAATCAGTGGAGCCCCTTTATGTCCCACAAAGAAATTTGTCTTCTGTCTGGTGTCCATTTTTAGAAATAAAAAGCTTATGGTCAGAGAGGGCCCACACGTTTTTCTTTTTTTATTTGGATGCTGTAGCATATCACTTCTTTCCCCTCTTTGTTCTCAAAGCATCTCTGGTCTGCCTTTCATCTGTGGTCTGTCAAAAATCTGTGAGCTGGGTGAACTGCATACTTATTCTGCCCTTCCTAGATATCCATCCTCTCTTTCTCATGTTCAGTCCTTACTACTTTCTTTGTATGAGAGCTGGGCAATATAACAACTTTTTTTTTTCTTTTTTTTTTTTTGCCTTTTAACAATATTTGATATTGGTTGTTGTTGTTAATATACAGTATTAAAGGATTATTCAAAATGCAAAGTTACTGTAGTTACAAAACTGTTCATACAAGAAGTAAAATACAGTGTCAATTTTTTCACTAAACAATGACATTCAATCATTATTTTACTATATGCTCTCAGTACATTAATAAATGTTAATATTTACCTGCAAATGTTTTTAATAAATAGCAAATACAATGTTAGTATTAAGTGATGCTGCATACAAATCTTTGAAGAAAAAATTTAAAGTTGAAAGATTAAATAGGGTTTGGCTATATATTAAAATATTATATAAAAATCAAAATGTTTAGCCTTTTCACTAAATTTGATATAGATTGTTGCTTTTTATATGCAGTATTTGCTCTCGCTCTTAAATTGCTAAAAAAATTGCTTAAATTTTCTTTTTTTTCGATAAACACAAGAATGCTTTCTTTATTTACTGTATGCTCAGAATAAAGTAATAAACAGTAATATTTACCTGCAATTTTTTTAAAATAGAAAAAAACATTGCAGGTAAATATTACTGTAAATATTAAAGCAAATGGTGCAAAATTCTTTGAAGGAGTATTTTTCATATTTGAGTTTACATTTGAGCCACTGTTAAGTGTGTCAAACAACCATTCTCACATGACATGACACAAGGAGGGGTGCGAAACTGGTTTTACTGCCAGGGTTTTAGAAAACGTATCATGAGTCTTGCTTAATTTTACACTGCCAACAAAATAATACTGAATATATGATACATTTTCAGTATATACTGTATGACTCAGCCCTACTTTAGATAAGACAGCACAGAGTTTAAAACACGTTGGGTCATCGTATCATCACTGCATTTTCTTAAGCAGGTTACCTTTTACATTTTTTTTTATTGTAATCTATATCAAGACTAAAGTAGACTAAATCAAGTTATATGAGGTCTTGTGTATTAAGCAGGGATTGAGATTTGAACATTCACTCTGTGTCTGCTCATCTGAACATTTGAGGAAAGCTAAAGGGCACACAGTTCAAAGACAGCGTTTAATAAGATAGAGTACTGTCAATAAAAGCAGTGCTTCTTCATATGGTCTGTTGTGGAACAGGAAAGGGATGAGTTAAAAACACCTCAGCTGCTGAACACTGTTATTCTTCCAAAACCACATAATGAAGGGCTCAGTGACACGCAGTATCATTAGCCACTGAATGGACAAGTGGATGTTTGTGCGATGACACTGACAGATTTAACCTTTCCTGAATGAATGATTCATTTTCAGTTTTCACATTAAATGAATTGAGCAAATCACTAGGAGCTTGACTACCCTATTTCCTAGGAAAGCGTCTGATATTTAAGCTCATTATCATAAGAAAACTGTGTTTTAGATCATTGTGTATCTGTTTTTTTTTGGAGATTTTCCAAAATTCCAAAGTGTAGTTGTTATACTTCAGCGTAAATTATGAATAATGTGGTTTGTTAAGGTTAGGTGTGCTATTACATTTCCGAATGGCTATCTGAAATCATATACTGTCTGAGAAGGTGCTACATTTGTTGAAAAAACAAACTATGTGAACTTTAAAAAAGTATGTTCTATATAGTATGAATTTGTGTAGTGTCAGTGTTCCATGTTGGCTTTGTCATGTGAATTACGGCGGCCATTCACATATCCTCTCCCGTGGCCCCATGGGATTGTAAAATATCAATCAGATGAATTTCAGTGGAAGCAGTAAGTCATCCAGGTACATTGGAGTACTGCTTTATAAAAAAAAATATGAATACGGACATGCTACTCATTTCATATTTTTCACCTGTTATATAGTAGGTAAATAGGCATATTAGGACACAACACAACAAGCAGCTGAAGGAAACTAAGTCACATTTAGAGACCAGAGGCCTCTTTTCTAAAGATGTGCATAGAATGGTCTTAAACGGGAATGTACAAGAGTTTTGCAAATTGTTCCTATTCACAAAAAAGTTCCTAAATGAATACCACTTAATAAATCGCAGTTCATCTTAAATTAAAGGGGTCATATGATGCGAATTAATTTTTTCCTTTCTCTTTGGAGTGTTACAAGCTCTTGGTGCATTTAAACCGCATAAACACATTTCATTACACCAAATACACAAAATAATGTTCTTTTTAGCAGCATCATATGACCCCTTTAAGAAGTAGTATATGGCACTCATCATCATTGGCAAAGAAATCCAAGTGCACTCTTGGAAAACATATCTTCTACATTTATTTATATATATATATATATATATATATATATGATGTAATACAGTTGATGTAATTGTCACAAAGGAGTTAAAATGTTGTTAACTTGATGCATATTAATGATACATATTGTGAATGTCTATTTATCTTTACGTATTTAATAAAGAATGTTGAATTATTTTCATTATTGGTATTAGGTGTGGGAGATGACATGATTGTGTGACACGATTAACTGGTAGAAATTTGTCAATCGGTAGAGATTTTCTACTATCGTCTCTATCGCGGTTGCATGCTCAAATGTGACGTGCTTCACAAATGCTTGTGGTCACAAAAACTTTTTTGCGTTTGCGTGCGTTTTTAAGCATTGCAGTTTAAAAACAAGTGATTTTGAGCTGTTGAAATGCAATCAGCAGTGAAAGAGAACTCATTTGGCTGTATGTGGG